CGCGCCGCACGCTCCTCGGCACGTCCGAGGAGGCCGCAAGCCGCAGCGGCCACGCCGACCTCGCCGCTTGGCTGGTCGCCAGCCGCGGCTGGACGCCGCTCCAGCACCTCGAGGCGTGCCCGAGACTAGCGGCTGAAGAAGCGTGAGCGCATTATCCTCACGCTCACTGTCCCTCTTCCCGCAGGCGCTCACCGTCGACCGGGCGCGGGCGCTGCTGCGCGGCGGCGCGGACTCTTCGGCCGGCGAGCCGTCGGCCCTCGAGCGGGCGCGCGTCCTCTGCTCGTGGGGCGAGTCGGATCCGACCGCTGCGGCCGTCGGCTCCACCGTCGCGATCCACTCTCTCGTCTCGCGGCCGTCGATGAATGGCAAGGTCGGCGTCGTCGTTTTCGCGAGCGCTTCGACGGGACGCTTCGGCGTGCGCGTGGCGGGCGAGGCCAAGGCCCTCGCTATGAGGCGCGCTATGGCCTCTCCCCCACTCGCCGGATCCTCTCTTTGGACACACCCCACGCCTCTGCCCTCCCTCAGGCCGGCCAGCCTGGAGCCAGCGGCCGCGGCGGTGGAGGTGGGCAGGCTCATCCTCAAGGCGGCGGAGTGGTCGCCGCAGTCGCACGAGCTCTTCCCGGAGGCGGCTCGCAAGCGGGCGGTCGAGGTGATGCGGCTGGGCTACCTGATCGCTTGGGACGAGGAGCGCTTCGACGGCGAGGGGGCGGCGCCGGGGCTGGCGGACCTCTGGCGCAGCTTTGTGCTGCCAAGGGTGGTGGTGCGGCCCGCCGCAGGCGCACCGCGTTCCCCATGATACAGCAGAGCATGTCTTCCTCTGAGGCAAGCTGTAGCACTGGCACTAACACAGGTACACCACTGTGGTCGAGAAGTGCAACACAGCCCGCTCGCTCGCCAGTCCCGCCCGGCTCCATCCAGTCCGAGCGCCGTGGACGCGTGAGAGTGTGTCGGCAGCCTATGTGTGTGTGTGTGTGTGTGTCGGTGTGTGCGTGTGTGTGTGGGGGGGGGGTGTCACGTCACTGCATCCTCTGCTGGTTCCTCCCGTCGCCTCTTCTTTGTTCGAATGTTTTTCAATCCATCCTTCACGAAGCCCTCCCATGTAGCTAGCGTTCTTGGCGAATGTCTCGAAATGGCCAGCAGGCGCTGTCTGCTCGCAGCCTGCCAGCTGCCTGCGAGCGTCGAGGCTCGAGCTGCGTGCGGGCCGCTCGTCCTCCTCTCCCTTCTTTCATCCTCCCGTGTGAGTTCTAGAGAGCATGTGCGGCGTGAGAGAGATATCGATGCGATCTTTAGAAAACTCTGGTCAGTGGTCGCGTGGAGTACCATTAGCAGCGCGGCCTCGCAGCTTCGCGAAGGAGGGTACGCGCCTCGGGCTGCGCCCCACAGGGGCCACACACTCCCTCTCGCCAGCTCGTCTCTCTGCTAGCCACGCTCGAAACGCCCTCCTCTCCGGTGCCAGCGCGCTGACGAGGCGCGGCGCCAAGGAACCGACGCCGGGTCGGCCGCCGGAGTGAGGGCCCCTTCTGCGGTAGCCCAGCGCAGGAGACCGAGGCGAGTGCAGGCGGTGACAGCGAGCGGCGATGGCGTGGCGTGCGGCAGCGGAGTCACTCCGCCTCTCCCATCGAAGCGCAGTGTCACCGCTCGCACCCTCCCGATGGCGTGCGGCTCAGGGAGTAGAAGGAGCTGCAAATCGCCCGCCAAATCGTGTACTCTCTTCGGGTCGAGCGTGGTGCATACAAACGCGAGCCCCTCCTCGACCTCGGGGTCATTGACAGTTGGCGCCAGCGGCAGCGCCGGCATAGACAGCGAGGGCGGTGCCAAGCTCGGGGCGGGCAGAAGCGAGGACTGCGGCGGCGGCGTCGAGCCGCGCGGCGCCGTCGCATCCTCTAGACCCGGCGGCCTCGGAGGAGGGACAAAGGGCAACGCGCGCGCTTCTGCGCCGCCGACCGAGGGGCCTGAAGCAGCAACGCGAGCGAACCACGGATGCGCCCGAACCGCAGCGTAGGCTGGGCGGCTCTCCGGGCGGCGTGACATGAGGCTCAGGATTAGCCGCATGGCCTCGTTCGAGACACCGCGCCACGCCGCGGAGGACATTGGCACGCCTGATGAGGACAGGACGTAGGGTGAGGCGCGGGAGATCCTTTCCTCTCCTTGCGCCTCTCATTCGCAAGCCTGTCGGCGGGGTCGCCCAGATCTGCTCCAAGAGCTCCTCCTCCTAACGGGAAAGGAGGGGGAGAGGGAGGAATGAGTCGGTCTCACGTGTCGGGGCCCAACCTGCCTCATCTCCGCCCTGTCCCGTCTCACCTCGAGCGATTGGTCGTAGGGCGGCTCGCCGGAGAGCATGACGTAGAGGGTGGCTCCCAACGCCCACAGGTCCACCTCCGCCCCGTACGGCTGCAGAGAGCCGCTCACGCTCCCCGCGCCGCTCCCAGGCCCAAACTCGGCCTCGAGCGTGGGCGTCGGAGGCATCGGCGCCGGTATGGTCTGACTCTCCAGCGCGTCGAATCTACGCGGTGCGTCGCCGGCAGCGGGCGGCTGGACGTCGTTGCGCTGCTTCAGCTGTGGCGTCGGTGTGTCGGGCGGCGAGCTATTGGGCGAGGAGAGGGCGGAGACGGAGAGCCGCGGGTCGACCGGGCGGCGGTCTGCAGAGCGCACCGTCTCAAAGTACCACGGACAGATCTCGGGAGCCGCATAGAGCGGCGTTCCGGCGAGAGAGGTGAAGCCGGCGCTAGAGATGAATGCGGCGGCGCCAAGGTCCACAACCTTGATCACTCGCCGCATCGGGTCGGCGAAGCAGCAGTTCTCAGGCTTGACATCACGGTGGCAGATCCCGTGCGCGCGGAGGTGCTCGAGCGCGGCCACAATCTGCGCGAAGAGCGGCCGCGCCTCGGCCTCGTCCAGCCCACCAGCCTCCAGAATGTAGGCGAAGAGGTCTCCGCCGCAAATGTACTCGAGATTGAGCGCCACCGCTGCCGGCGTACACGCCACCTGCAGCAGCCGCACGAGGCCGGGATGCGGCGGCACGGCCGACAGGATGGCCACCTCGGCGAGGAGCATCTCTGCATCCTCCTCATGCTCCGCCAGGTCCGCCACGGAGAAGCGCTTGAGGGCGCTCCTACCCCACGCTTTGCCGCCCGCCTTTCGCACCGCGAGGTTCACAACTGCCGTGCGCCCCGCACCCAGCTCGGGGCCGATGTCAAACAGGGCGGCGAGGCTGGGACCGACGAGGGCGCCGCGGCCGGCGTCCAGCTGCAACGATGGGAGGAAGAAGCGCTGCGGTGCTGGCCCGTCGCGCGCCGGCGGGCGCCGCCTTCGGCGCAGCGGCCAGAGGCTGCGTCTCGGGCTGGAGTCGCCGGACGGAGGCATTCGTGCCGGGGGCGAGCACCGGGCGCGAGGAGTCAACGGGCGCCTTTATATGGCGGGCGCTCATGTTTGTGAAGTTTCTTCAAACATTTTAGTTTTAGGAAGCATCTTTTCGGTGTGCACGCATCGCCATACCCCCAACAAACCCAACCCTTTGCCCCCCCGGATGTGCATAGAGGGAGGCTCCTGCATTCGCGCGCGCGGGTGTGCACTGCGGGCTGTTGCTCGACATCACCTCGTCTGGCTAACAACGCGAAACAACCGCGATTCGCGCCGGTGATGGGCATACCACACGCGCTAGAACCTAAACCCTTGCCGACGGAAAACCCGGCGCCTTCCTCAACGCCATCCCAATGCGGGATGACATGCGAATGGAGACTTGGGCGATGCGTCTTTCGGTGCAGCGCCGCCTGGGTCTCCCCCTCGACGTGGCCTGCCAGGCCGCGGCGGCGGGCAAGAAGACTCGGAATGGGAAGACCCACGACGAGTATGGCGACGCTGCTGTCAACGTACCGCAGCAGGGCCACAACACCAGACACAAGTACACGCTTCGACGCCTCATCCTCGCCCTACGCGCCGCGTGGGGCACCGCTGTGCGAATGGAGCCGAAAGCCCACCTCGGTCAGAGTTACAACAAACAACCCGACGTGGACGCGGACAACATTGGCAAGGACGGCACGCACTATTGCGGAGACGTCAAGGTCGTCTGTTCCCTCAGCAGCAGCGGGGAGCACGGTCGGAAGGGCGCTTTTGTCGCTTTC